TTAATACAATAACTACCAAGTGTTCAAGTGAAAGTAAGAGTCACATGTGTTTAACTTTAAATCAAGCTAGAAATATGAAAAAAGGCTTATCACTGGTCATTAGAGAAATGAAAATCAACACCACAATAAGATAGCCATCTCACGCCGATTAGAGTGGCAATCATTAAATAGTCAGGAAACAACATGTTGGAGAGGATATGGAGAAATAGGAATACTTTTACACTGTTGGTGGAAGTGTAAATTAGCTCAACCATTGTGGAAAACAGTGTGGTGATTGCTCAAGGATCTAGAACTAGAAATATCATTTGGCCCAGCAATCCCATTACTGGGTATACACCCTAAGGATGAAAAATCATTCTGCTATAAAGACACATGCCCACATGTGTTTATTGCAGCACTCTTTACAATAGCAAAAACTTGGGACTAACTGAAATGGCCATCAATGATAGACTGGATAAAGAAAATGGTACATGTATACCATGGATTACTATGCAGCTATAAAAAGAATGAATTCATGTCCTTTGCAGGGACATGGATGAAACTGGAAACCATGATTCTCAGCAAACTAACATAAGAAAACCAAACACCACATGTTCTCATAAATGGGAGTTGAACAATAAGGACACATGGACACGTGGTGGTGGGGGGTGGCATCACATACCAGGACCTGTCAGGGCTGGGGGTCTGGGGAGGGATAGCATTAGGAGAAATGCCTAATGTAGACGATGGGTTGATGGGTGCAGCAAACCACCGTGGCACATGTATACCTATGTAACAAACCTACACGTTCTGCACACATACCCCAGAAGTTAAAGCATAATAATAATAATAAGGTTGTGATAGTCAAAAGTGGTTAATTCTGAATAGAATGGACGAAATGGAAATGGGAGAATAGGTTAACTGCAAATTTAGATTGCATTTAATGATCAATTATTTTTAAATAATAAAGCATTTAATATAAAAGTATTGTTTAATTTGAGTGATGGAAATAGTGTCTAGAATGTAATTGCAGATGTACCTTTTGCATCTACAATGCTTACAGACTAGAAAATTCCACGCAGTGAGTTAAAAAAAGAAATGCTATCAGTATATACTTATGATGTTTCTATATGCTTTGAGGGAAGATCACAGGATCATATAAAAAACATATTTTCCAACCAAATAATTTTAATCACTAGAAATAAGACCAAATATATGATAAGTATAATAAGAATTTTAATTAATACCCCTTCTGGTCACATTAAGAAGTTAATAAAAAATTGATATTCACTTTTTATAACCACTAACATGTTGAATCTATATTTTATATCACTTGGTTTTTATGACTTATATGTCAGAAGTTGCCCTTGATGCAGAATATGGGGGTTACATTTAGTTCTGTTCCCAATATTCACATTAAAATTGACCATTGGAGCCAGAATCCAGTGCTTTCTATTAATTTTTTCAACACAGGGCCAGCAGTGTCAATTCTCATTTTATATAGGAGTAATTGGATTCTTTTTTATTTAATAGTATTATCTGAGTCCCTAGGCAATCTCCACATTTTCACTCTTTGGGTAAAATTTTGAGTGGAGTCTTGGCTAATGAATCTGTTTGTCTTTCTTTCCCCAGGGAATCAGATTTTTATTTGGAAAATCTTGTTGTCATGCTTGGGGACTGGGATCTAGAAACAAACATATTCAGCGTGAAGGTCTTCAGAGACCTCAGGCACTTGAAAAACTCCAGCATGCTTCGAGCAGGAACCTTGGGCTGGGCCTGGCCAGATCTCTCTACCTGGGTAGGTTACACCAAATATTTTACTTCTTAGTAAGCGTCATGTAAAAATCAAGTATCTTTGAGGATTTACCAATTTAAATCAGGCTTAGGACTGAAATGATATCTAATGTGTCTTCTTTTCCAAGTAATTCAAGTATCTGCCCACTGATTTCTTACTGGAAGTGACAGCGATACAACATAGTGTCCAGCATCTCTATTGATAGACTAGACAGCTTGAACATTTATACTAAATAATGAATAGTCATTACAGTTAGTATATTTCACTTTAATATGAAAAGTAATTTTTTTTCTGCCTTAGAAATGCTACATGAAAAGGGAAGTATCTTATGTGTCTCCGATGCATATGGTTTGATGTTTAAAAAAAGGGCTTTCAAAACTACTTGACACTGATGAAAATGAGCTTTTCTTCTTGCATTCCCTGGGGTGAAAAATCCTAGGATGAAGAGATTCCCTGGTACTAATAGTCAGTCTCCCTGATGGATGCCAAAAACTCATATTGAGATTCAGTGCTTGTCTCAAACCAGACCAGTGTCTCAACAAGCTTAACACAAATTCTACAATTAGACATCAATGAAATATAGCCTTGAAATCTTCTCAGAAGCTATTTAAGAGTTAATTTGCAACATAACACCTCATCCAAAGGGTGACACTTTTTACAGTGAAATTGACGCTGAAATTATTAACATTAGATATATTTTTATTTATTTTATATTGAGATTCATGATATCGGTAGACCTATAAATATTTCTTTTCAAAAACTAATTTAAAAAACTTTTGTGAAAAATTATAATAGCTCTTAACAGGAAAATTCTAACTCGAAAAATATTCTAAAAGAAAGAAGACCCAACAGGAGAAAACTGGGCCCCGTTCTAAGGAAACTTTACATCAATGGCATATACTTGCTGAAATAATAATCAACTCCACCTCTGCCCTCAGTCATGCTTCAGAAGAGGAGAAATTAATAATGGATAAAGATATTAAGTATTTGCAAAGTCTCTTCCTTCCCTGAGCTAATTGCACAAATTCAGAGTAGGCCGTAAATAATGGCTGTTGTTCATGATGTTTTTTTTTGTTGTTAAATTAAGGGTGTCTATGGAATAGAAATGTCAGAATGAACAATGCACTGAGTTGCTTTGTTTGCGGCAACCAAACAGGAAATATTTTGATCAAAGTAATTGTTACCACAGTGTTTTAAATCATAAGCTTGCCTGCTTATAAGACATGCAGTTCTTTTTAAGTGCAGTGGCAAGAAACAAAAGATAGAGAACAGATGCTGCACACAATCAGGTCAGTTTCTCAGACTCATATTTGATGTATTTAGTAATGTATCACAACAAAGAAACATTGAAGATTTAAGAGATAATCTGACTGCAAGACAGCATGTTTTGTTTGTTAAAAAAGTAGCTAGATATTGTAGGTCCCAGTTTTTAAAAAAAAATATGCAGTAGTATAATTCATTTGCTATTTCTGTATTAACTGTAAAAGCACTCAGTAAGGTAGAATGAATTACTGGATTAAGAACCCTCATTGAAAATCATTCAGAGCATGCTAATAACAAAAACTGAAGGTAACATCCATTTTGCATTCACTTGGTACCAGGCTGTATAAAAAAAAAATCTATTTGTGTGCATTATCTCATTTAATTTGAATAATACAGGAATACAATGCTTGGTAAAAATCACCTAGGTATTAATTTGTAGACTAAAACCAATCACATAAACAAAATCACAAAAACAAAATCATAAAAACATGAAGTTTAGACCAATGTCTACATTGTATTTTTGAGTAATTTTGAGTATTAATTGGTAGACTAACACAATCACAGAAACAAAATCATAAAACCATGCAGTTTAGAACAATGTCTTACATAGTCTTTTTGAGAAATTTTACTTCATTGAGACTCAATTTTCTTATTAGACATGAAAATAATTACCATCTACCTATATTCTAGGGTGTTCCTGCAGAATAACTATTTCAAAATTCCTAGCATAATTCTCATTACATGTTACTTTCTAAATAAATATTAACAGCCTTCCCCACTCGTTTTTCTTTACAAGTGTAATAAATCAAAGTAATCTAACTTTGACAAATAAAAGTTGTAATAGGAATTAAATAAAACAACTTTAACAATTTAAAATGAAAAAGTACAAGCTAGAAAGGGGAGAGTAGGACTTCTGGAACAAAATACTAGAGAAGAATATGAGTAAGAGAAGTCACAATGATAGGACAGGACTGGCTTACTTAGCAGAAGTAATGAAATGTGATTAAAGAGGATTCTGACTTTCAGAATTATACTCAGAAGGAAAAATATTGAAGGGTAGGCCTACTTCTGCACAGCTGAAGCAACAATATGTGGTAGAAACTGATAAAGCAAAATCCAGAATACTGAAAGTGTTTCCCATTGAAATGTTGAAATTCCCAAGGATTATTAATGACAAGGTATGGGCTGGGGAAGTCACCAGTGGAAGCTAAGGAAAAGATAACTGGTGGTCACTCTGTCTCATCAACTTCTTAAAGGCTGCTCTCTCTTATCACTGGAAACACAGAAACACACAAATAAAAATTGTAAGTAATAAATTACATGTGTATGTATGTGTGTATATATCATATGCTAATCTATGCATATAGTACATGTGAATATACATTAATATCAAATGCACATATATTCATCCAATATCATATGCTAATATAGTTGATAAATGCATAATAATAAAACATAATAAACAAATATGTATTCACTCAATATAAACTATATCCAATAGTGAATACATAAATTGCTCATCCAAACAGTTTTCAGACTTTTCTTTTTTTTTTTTTTTTTTTTTTTTTTTTTTTTTTTTTTGAGACGGAGTCTCGCTCTGTCGCCCAGGCTGGAGTGCAGTGGGGCGATCCCGGCTCACTGCAAGCTCCGCCTTCCGGGTTCACGCCGTTCTCCTGCCTCAGCCTCCTGAGTAGCTGGGATTACAGGTGCCCGCCACTGCGCCCGGCTAATTTTTTGTATTTTTTAGTAGAGACGGGGTTTCACCGTGTTAGTCAGGTTGTGCTCGATCTGCTGACCTTCTGATCCGCCCTCCTTGGTCTCCCCAAAGTGCTGAGATCACAGGCGTGAGCCACCGCGCCCGGCCAGTTTTAAGACTCTTAATTGTCTGGTGAGTTTTTATTTCTGAAGTTGATGAAAACATGGGGAGAAAAACAATTAGGTTCTGAAACTTTTAAGGGTTTGTAAAACAAAATAAACTCATTTCAAATGAAATATTTAACCTAGCATCTAATAGAAACATCAATTTTATCATCCATTAATTTCCTTCAACTTTCTCAGGTAAAAGATGAAGGCAGCAATACCAATGGCTTCAGGAAATCTCACATGGGTGACTGAGTTCATTCTTGTGGGAGTCTCAGATGATCCTGAGCTCCAGATTCCTCTCTTCCTGGTCTTCCTGGTGCTCTATGTGCTGACGGTGGTAGGGAACCTGGGCATCATCACCCTCACCAGTGTTGACTCTGGACTTCAAACCCCCATGTACTTTTTCCTCCGACATTTGGCTATCATCAATCTTTGCAATTCTACTGTCATCACCCCTAAAATGCTGATTAACTTCCTGGTTACCAGGAAAACCATATCTTACTATGGATGTGCAGCCCAACTGGGTGGATTCTTGGTTTTCATTGTGGCTGAGATTTTCATGCTGGCTGCAATGGGTTATGACCGCTACGTGGCTATTTGCAACCCTCTGCTTTATGCAGTAGTGGTGTCTCCAAAGGTATGTCATCTGCTGGTGTCCCTCACATACCTTCAGAGTCTTATCACAGCACTGACTGTCTCTTCCTGTGTGTTCTCTGTGTCATACTGTTCTTCCAACATCATCAACCATTTTTACTGTGACGATGTCCCTTTGCTAGCATTGTCCTGTTCTGATACCTACATTCCAGAAACAGCAGTGTTTATCTTTTCAGGGACCAATTTGTTTTTCTCCATGATCGTTGTTCTGATATCCTACTTCAACATTGTTATTACCATTTTGAGGATACGTTCCTCAGAAGGACGACAAAAAGCCTTTTCCACGTGTGCTTCTCACATGATAGCTGTGGTTGTGTTCTATGGGACTCTCCTTTTCATGTATTTGCAACCAAGGAGTAATCACTCATTAGATACTGACAAAATGGCCTCGGTCTTCTACACCCTGGTCATACCTATGCTGAACCCCCTAATTTACAGCCTAAGGAACAAAAACGTGAAAGATGCACTAAAGAGATTCCTAGATAACCCATGCCGATCACTCAAACTAATGTAAATTTAAAGCTAAAACTATCCTCCTTTAGTGCTTTTCATTTTTTTCCTGAAAACTGCTATTTAAAAAAAAAGTGGCAAGAAATTGTTAGAAATTCCATTCATTTTAGTGGAAAATGTTTAATTGTTCTTATGTCAACCTCACATACCCAAACAAGAAAACAATGTCTATAAATAATAAAAAATAATTTGCAAATAATCAGTTTGTAGACAACTTATAGATAAAATGTAAGCCACTAGAGGGTTTTAAAAATAATTTCCAAACAAGGAAGAGAAAGCGTGGTAGTGCGTGCGGAGGTATGTGGCATCATTTCTTGGAAGGTGGTCAAAACACTGATCATCCTCCTTGCAAGAGACATATTTTGTTCAGCTACTAAAAATTATATTTTTAGTTTTGTAGCATTTATCCATCAAGTTCAACTTTTGTGGAACTATTTTTATCTTGTATTTAAAAATAAATTTTTATCACAGAAAAACTACACGTGGAAATAAGACTTAAGGGAAAACAGGCTAACAAATTTTTTAAAGGGGATTTTCCTTTTTCATTATTCTCAGTTGGTGTGTGCACCCAAAGCAAAATGTTGATGTTCGCTCAATTAAGACACACAATTTTTTTCCATCTCATAAAACATTTGTGTAAAGTTAATTGCCTTTGTTATGAAACTACAATACCAAGCAGCACTACTTTTAGCATTTTCATTCAGTGTAATTTGAAAAAAAATTTTATTAGACAAAAATTTTTTTAAAAGAATATTATCTTTAAAATGTCACCAGTTCTTAAGAGTCCTCCTGTTTTTTTAAAGAAAGTTAATAGTTACTATGAACTATATCTCTTTGCATGTAGAAGGCTACTAATGCATGATGGAGCGAGGGAGAGTGGCACTTATATGTGAAATAAAGGTAGTGTCTGGGAAATAAAGTACAGTCATCATATTTTCAGGAAGGTTAGAAGCGTACCCTATCCAGGGACTGTGTGACTGAGATCAGTATTTCAACTTCTAACTTTAGCCTTAAAGGAGCATAATCACTGAAGCCTTAAAGTAGCAGAATCACTGAAGGGAATACACACTATATAAGGAGTATTTCTGGTCTCAAGGGCAATATTGATAATAGTTCGATGGCATTTGCCTTTTTTATTTGTGTATCTTCTACTTTATGATGTGTGTACTTGGCTTCATCAACTGATATCATTGTAACCAGAGAACTAAAATTCCCATTAGAAACAATTCTTTTGGGTGTGGCTAGATGAATAGCATTGGAGTAACAGCACTAAACTCACTCTGACATTTATACTAATGTTATGCATATTACTAAATTAAGGTAAATAAGTACTCCAGTGTTTTCTACCTTTTAATTTGGCTTACACGTGTGTATTTTGTAAAAATAATGTTGTTGTTGTTTTTTTTTCATTTTCTATTGCTACTGTAAGAAATCACTACAAACATAGTAGCTTGTAACAACCCAAATTTGTTATCCCACATTTCTGGGGGTCAGAAGGTCAAAGTGGGTCTCATGAGGTTAAAACCAAGATGTTGGCAGTCTGTGTTCCTACTGGAACTTCTAGGGACAATCTGTTTTCTTGCTTTTTCCAGGTTCTAGAGGTTGCCTACAGCACTTGGCTTATGTTCCCTTTCCAGCTAGCAATCTCATCACTGACCTCTGCTTCCACTGCTGTGTCTCCTCTGCCTTTCACCCTCTTCCCTCCCTCCCATGTGATTGTCGTGGACTCACACAGATAATCCATGAAAACCTCCTCATCTCATGATTCTTAATCACATCAGCAAATTCCCTTTTCAGTGGAATGCGACATGTTCAGATAGGTTCCTATACCTGTCTTATTCATTAGTGCTCGCTGGTATAGTCTTACAAAAGTTGACATGCTATATATCCTTTCTACATTATTTACTATAAAATTTATGTAAACAAACTACACATGGCCTTCTTTGAATAAAAGATAAAAGTCGGTTTTAAGTTTGCAAAAGTGTATACACATATACACACTCACATAACACTTGCGGCACTTTTACTCATATGTGATGAATTAACTCTACCAAGCAGACAAGTTTTCAAGGAAGCAAGGTATAAAAAGTAAATTGTCAGCTCTGGTCTATATGTTAATCACCCCATGGGGCATGTCAGCCTAAATAACAGAGAGAGGCTCCCTAAAAGAGAGTAATATTCAGGATTACAGCATTGCAATGAGAAAGTAAGTGCTATGTTAATTGTATGGGTTAAGAGAAAAAAGGAAGAGAAAAAGGAAGACAAAGGGTTTTATAGAGAAACAAGTTGAGGAGGATTACATAATTTTTGAGAATTATCTTTGGCTTCAAAAATCAGTAATAAGAGTGATACTAGTCTGAGGTTGCACAGGCAGTTGCTGGACAGATGTCCTTGCAGAAGTATACATTTTTTTAAGGTCGTGATGGCCTTTGTGCAAGGTGGTGATTTTTGCCACCATTTGTGGTATTTTTGTTATCAGGCATACAAGCATGAGAACCCTCTGTTCATAGCCTTTTATGGCTTTATTTGTCAGTTCGTGTGTGTGTGTGTTTTAAACATAAGTAACTCCATTTTGATTCTGACAGCTTTCACATTTCCCCCTTTTGATCAAAATATGTTTCCAAAAGCACCACTAATAATTCATACTGTCATTCAGTTTTAATGTTTCTTGGTGCCAAAATAGACTTGTTCTGAGTTCCTAATCCCATCTCACATTAGAGAGAGTGCTTACTGACTATGAGTAAATGACAAAACCCCATTAGCCATACTGAGCAACATGAGAGGTTTGAAGGAAGAGAATCACAGGCTACGTCTACCTGGAATTCATTATTAAGTCCAATTCTGTCTGTTGCATAATCTTTTTGCTATCATCTCAAAGTGCTGAGTCAGCATTGTTTCGTTAGAAATTGTATTTGTGGAAAAATTTAACGAGTGACACACACAAAGTTTAAAAGTGGAAAATACAGAGTAAAATTAACAGTAGTATGAAAGTCCCAATTTGTATAATAGTTTTGACCCTAGGCTTAAAGACAATGAATTGAATAAATCAAATGTCTTTTATGCTGCCAAGTGAAAAAGGTAGGCCTGAGAATAGGGAGCCCCCATTATAGAGTTTTATTCTGACATCGTGGGAAAAGCTGCCTATGGCATTAAGACGTCAACTTTTTGTCCTGGTTTGTAGTTCGACTGTCTCTGATTATGATATCAGGTGGTTTGGTAAACATTTTCTGTGGCCCATATATGAGGCAGGAGGCTTGTTCCTTAAAATTTATCTAGTTTCAGCTTATAGGGCTTTTGGAACAAAAAAAGTTTGTTTTTAGTAATTCCATAGAAGAAAGTTGTATTGGGAGAATCTAGAAGAATTGAAAATTTAGTGTGGTCTACAGGTAAATAACAACTTAAAAGCAGTGCAAACTGCTATAACCGAATAATGGATATATCATACCTTTGCTTTAGAAACATGACTTTTGCTCTGCCTTGATCACATAAAAATCTCAGATATGAAAACCTCTTAAGCTAGAGAGCCAAACCAAGGCAGACCTTGGATTTTGTTTACATGCTTACAATCTTAAGGTTCCTAGGCCTGTCAGGAAGTGATAATTTTTACTTAATTCCTTGTAAGGCTGGGAACTGTTGAAATCTGGCATTTTATGCAAATTTTTAAATATGACATATTTTCAGTCAAATCCATGGTAATATGACCAATATTTCTAATTGTGTCCTCCTGTAAAGAGAAATCAGATTTTTATTGAAATTATGTTGTTATATAGATTGTCATAAAAATTAAGAATACTTATGAATAGTTTTTAAATTGTCAAGGAATTAAATTGGGAGAGAAATCACATGGTTTTAATTTTTTTCACAAAATTATCCTTTACCAAATTTGTGTAAATTTTCTATAGCTTAAGAGAGAATTTTTTCTTAAATCTTGAAAACAAACTACATAAAGAATCAATATTTTAAACAATGTTTTAAATAAAATAATAAAAACACTATTTTCATCAGTTATTTTTATTGCTTGATCTTGATTAGCAGTTTTATGAACCTATAAGTTTTTGAACCGTGAGTTTTATTAATCTATATGTTTTATGAACCTATAAATTTTTAATATCAGAGTTCTAGACATTTTTATTTATTTCATTGCCTTTAAAGTTGTCATAAATCTGCTCAAGAATAGTTGTTAGAGTCCTTTCCATGAAAGGAAAGGCAATTTTGGATTATAGCTAATTGTAAATACTTTTAGAGAAGAATTTAAAGCAGTAATTGTGAATGACAAAAAGCTAGAATAGTCATGGATAAAAATCTGATGAAAGTTTTTAATTGACAAGGAAATTTATTACCTATTACATTTTAAAATATCAGAATTATGACTGGCTATCACATCAAGGCTATCAGACTTTTGTAAATGTGATACAACTGAAAATCATAAAATGTGCACATCAATAATACATCCATACAAATATAACTTTAAAGAAGATTAAGCTTATCAACCAAAATTATGACTGACAATATATTAGATTTTTGTAAGTTTATGTAGATTTTGAAACAAGTATATAGATAACATACCCCTCAATGTAACTGAAAGAAGATTTAGCATCACTTAGTATTTGACAATGTTTTCCCCTTATACTTTACTAAATAAGACTAATCATTTAACAAGACATATGTTCTTGACATATGGGCCGAACTGAGAAATTTCAAACTTAATTATAGATCAGAAAATCTTCATTTTAGAGCCCAGAGCCCCATTTGCATATGCGGAGAAGCAGTGGCACCAGCTCAGTGGTGTGAGACATCCTCACCACCTCGGGAGACTTAGGGACGCACTGCCTCTGACACCTGCTCAGCTCCCTGCCCAGGCGAGGACGCCATCTTGTGGGGTTGAGTGTCTTGAACTGAGGGCAGCAACTATGACTGAGTTGCTGTTGGTGATAACAAAAGCCTCAGCAGGTGGGGAAGATGAAAAGTAGCAGGATCGAGCTGGGAGATGGGACACCAAACAGT